AGTAGTCGGGTGATAAGGAGGTGACTGGCTGCTCGTGAATGAGTGACTGGAGTGAATCAGTTAGTGTTGGATCATTAATAAACCTGACTGCTCCATATTCTTGGTTCTTTCAGTAAAGTCACGTTGAAGGGAAACAATAGAATAATAAAATATATATAAAACAATAAAATTCTCACGACGTTTCGACTGCAACACAGCAGTCATCAACACAAGCAGTCACCTGATGATGACTGCTTGTGTTGCAGTCGAAACGTCGTGAGAATTGTATTGTTATATATATATTATTATTTATTGTTTCCATTCAACGTGACTTTACCGAAAGAACCAAGAATATGAATCACTGCAGTCACGAAAGTTTTAAATCAAAATCTGACTGCTCCATGTTTTGATTGCATACTCCACTATGTGGATGAGATGATAATGGATGATACCGATTAGACTGAATGGAGAATACATTGTTGACTTGTGCGCATATTCAAATACAACAAAAAGTTTTTTTTTAATGCATCAATTTGCACGTTTCCTTGTGTTGCCAAGTATAAACCAGAAATATTTGCGCCGCTAGACTTAAAACTAATGTGTTGCACTTTCAAATATGTATATATTATTGTGCTGTATAATTGCATAAAACGAATCAAATATTAATGATCCATTATAACACAGCCAGCAAAGAGTAAGTACTCATTTTTGTCAGTTGATGTGTGGTACATTTGGCAGGTGGTTGTTATTTTTTTACCATTTAAATTCAAGTCACTCACCTACGTGTCTTACACACAGAGGAGGTTTCTTGAATTACACATTCTAGTTTAGCCTGGCACGAGACTCACATCATACTCCCACGATAAAGTCTGGACGAGGAAACACAAAGGAGCTGAAAGACAACACAATTCTCAGATTGTAAACAGTTCATATGCTCAGTTGAGGACATGTTGGGAAACACATGTGAATCGATAATTTGGACTAGGCGGGTTCAATGGAGTCTGGACATTAAACTGTATTGGATCTTTTAGTATGTGAAATCCACTATAAAGATATATACATTAATGGTGCAGTTATAGGCACATAACTACAGTGCCATGTATCATATACTTGCACGACCTGACAAAGACAACCTTACTCAATTTTTATTTAAAAATCTTTACATAGCAGGGCTCCATTAACCTGCTTACAGATTTGTTTATGGAAAAAGTTTTTTTTTAATTGGAAATCGTTATACTGGCTCGCTCCATTACGTTGCACGTGACTTTATATTTCACGTATTTTTATGTGTTTTTTTACAGGACAGAGATCTCCATTTAAATATGTTATGGGGTCACATTTATATTTGTTATATTTGAACCTTTCAAGATGGATGGATTGAGTGTATGTTTTAGCTTATGCACCAGCCTCTGATTAATAATACATTAAAAATATTACACCATTGCTGTGTCATATAATGGATAGAAATGCCTTCCCTTGGCTGGGCCAACCATTTCTAAATCTCCACGTCTGTAATCCATCTCACTTTCCACACAGACCTTGATCCCATCAATCAATTAACCATTCATCCTCGGGCGTGTTCCCATGCCTGGCTGCCATTGCATCGCTGCACTTTGCAACTCTGCCTCTCCACTTTCTGACGCTCGAGTAAGAAACGCGCAGACTGCCTCCTCCAAATAGTTATGCGGGTAGGGAAGGGTGGTTGAGCCACAGTCGCACGGCTTGTTCCACGTCAGCTGTTAGTGGGCACACGGAAAACGGGTCTCGTGTGACCTAGTTCCACACGTGCAGCATCTGCACTCAAGTTTCTTCGAATGTTCTCTTCAAGAACATTAGGGGCACATTTGCGGGTCCACTTTATGCCCTCCCCCCCCCTTCTCTCTCCCCGCCTACTGCCGAGGCCTACTATATAACCTCGTGCCACGGCAGATCACCCGCATACTTCAGCAGATTTTCCTTGCTGTGGTTGTTCCACCTGATGACGATTGCTTGTGTTGCGATCGCAACGTCGTGATCTATTATTTTTCCACCTACGTGACTTTACCGAAAGAACCAGAGTATGAATTGTTGTTGTTATTAAACATTGCTTAAGAAGCGTTTTTTTCTTTTCATGCTGGCAAGTACGGCACTTTGGGCCACGTGCCGCTTGCGGTGACGTTGAAGGCAACGCTTCAGACAGCGAGCACTGTGCACTCACGAATGCTAGGGTTTGAAAAACCGGCGCATCCCATCCGCCAGTGATGACATCAACACAGATTGTATAATGAAGCCAAGCTGAGGCACACCATATATCACTGATGGTTGTCACCAGTTGGCTGAGGCAGTCCATTTGTAACGGAATGGCCCCGGGGCAGAGAGAAAACTTGAGTAAGATGGAAATTCGCACTGCACACTCACACACACACACGCAGAGGCGCGCTTACCTTGTGTTACACTTGAATGTGCACTTCACAGGCCACGCGTGTCCATTAAGACTTTGACAGCTGCAGAAAAAAAATAACCTGGCTCACACCTCGCCTTGCAAAAAAAAACTGGCCGAGCATTTTAAGCGCCTTAGGGGATCACTCAATGTTACATTTCTTAGAATGTACAAAGACTGCACTGAAAAAAGAGGAAGAGGAAGACACCCATATCAATTGTTGCAGTCACGGGAGATGTCAAATTGCAGATTTCCAGCACACATATTCTAAACCCATAGAAAAGTATGTGATGATGTGTTTTAAAAACGAAGAATACTGTCATGGGGTAATGGTTAGCACACTGATCCTTTCCGATCCAGGGGTCGCCGGCTTATCGTCCTTTGTGAGGCGATGGAAACAATGGGCTCGTTTCTTAAATCAACCGCAGCCCCGCCATCTCTCAAATCTATCCACCAGCAGTATACAAGGGGACACCGCAGTCACGTCGATCGGCAGGTCGTGTGTGGTGGGACAGAGTGTGTGGGTACTCCCACCTATACCGAGATGTCTTGCCAGCTTTGAAAGAGTAGGCCATATTCCTTCTTCTCGAGTTCATCCTCTAGCGGAGGCCTTTCTCCTAGCAGTGACGTGGGGATGTAAATGCAGAACTGTATTCTCTTTCAATAAATTAAATGACAAATATACAATATTGTTGGTTCTTTCGGTAAAGTCACGTAAAATGGAAATAATAAAATATAAAAACAATACAATTCTCACGACGTTTCGATTGCAACGCAAGCAATCATCATCAGGTGTTAAAACCACTTCTATGTTACTTTACCGAAAAAAACAAGAATATGAATCCCTGCAGTCACGAAAGCTTTAAATCGACCCAAATATACGTACAATGTTGCAAAAAATGCCAAGATGCCTGTCAAATATATATTTATCACGTATCGTCCTAACGACATTTTGTCGAGGCTGAATTCCTGATATCATTCTACCCCACATATTCCTCGACGAAACAACAGCATGAATTCAGGGAAGGGATGACTCGAGAAACAAAGATAAAGGGGAAATATGAATAAAAAAATAAATCCAAGAAAGGCTATTTCATGAGTTTCAAACTGTAATAGCCCAGCAGAATCCACGACAGACAAGACATTTAAAATGTGTGTTGTGAAATTTATGTGAAACAAATGCAATTATATTGTGACACATTTGCTGATCAGTGGCAGTAAAAAAGAAAAAAATATATACAAAAATCAGCAGGAATAACATGCGGAGGTGTAACCGTTTCTGTTTACACAGTAAATATCAGCGTGTTGAATATTTTTTTTGTTATATTTTGCCAAGGAGTGTGCGTGTTTTTTTTGCGATGCTTACATTTCTGCAGCGTGCGAAAAGTGACTTGCACGAGTCAATGACAACCTCGTTCGGTTTGTGAGCCGAATGACGGCTGTGATGCCATGAGGGCTTGAACATCTTCATGGCATACGACATTGGGGTTTAAACAAAACGATGGAAAAAAGAGTGGTGAAAGTGTTTGTATTTCTATAGAGTATTTTACCACTTGATATACACGCAGTATCTTCTCTTATATTTCAATTATCAGTTTTCGTCGTTCTCACCCTCGCCTCAATTTGTAACTTTTGGTGTGAATGTCAACAGCTTTAAATGTCATTCTAATCAGTTAACATGAACAGGCCGCTCAGGTTCCGCCCTTATTCTGCGTCTAAGCCGACGCTATTGCTCGACTCAAATTGCATTTCACAACTCCGTTGAGCAACCGGTAAATATTTAGGGATTAAACTTGCAGTTTAACAGACAACATGAACATGAACACAACCAGGAGACGTGACCTTCCAAATAACAAACTTGCATCTTGAGTGGCACCCGAGTGTGGCAATGTTAACATGTGTGTATATACAATTAGATGTTGATTTGAAGCAATTCGTGACTGTAGGAATCCATGCTCTTTGGTTCTGCCTCAGCAGCAGACCATGCTTTCCCACCTGGTGATGAACGCTTGTGTTCGACCGGGAACGTCGTGATTTATTTTATTTTATACCTACATGACTTTACCGAAAGAACCAAAGAGTAATCAGATATGTTGATAATATATTCATGAGCATGGATTCTTGTATTATAATTTTTGTGGGAAATATACTGACATGAAATGCATAATCTCAACCTAAAAAACAATTACCTTAATATGACTTCATGTTACTGTTTATTTTTGGATATATCATTTAATATATCGGGATGTACATGTACACATTATAAAAGGAAATGCTATTACAATCCATTCTCATTCTCTACTCTTGAGATGTCATGCTGGCTTCAACTCCTCACGTCCGTTGAACCTTGGTACCAATCTCACTCCTGCATGTGCTTCTGATGAAACTGCTCCCCTCTTTGATTCAATTGTCATCACATAGGCTCTCTTGGCTTGCCACTCTGACACTAATTGTGGGCCATTCTGCACGCATGTAACCTGCCAAAAGTCGACACGATATATATTTCGTGACGAGTGAGTGCATTCTTTCGAACCGCGTTTGTCAATGCCCGTGGTGGTGATAAATCTGTGAACCGATAATAACGAGTCGGGGGTGAGACAGATAACTTTGGACTTTTATTTAAAGAGTTATTTTATAAAAACAATAATTTTGTTTGGTGGTCCATAATGAGGCATGAAAATAAGGGAGTTGGATCTCGGGGGGGGGGGGGGGGGGGGGGGGGGGGGGTGGGGGTGAAAGAGGGGGCAGAAATTGCAACGGGTCTGAGGGAGGAGGGCCGATAATGGGGTGGTGGCAAGGCTGAATGGACACATGCCTCCGACAAACACTTTCAAAGGCAAATGACAAAAAAACCGTCAGTGCCCAATAAGCAATCCACATGTAAAACCACAAGATTGAAACAGACAGCATCTTCAAGCAGGATGGTCACAATTTAACACTATCAGTTGCGCCCAAGTTAACAAAAGCAGGCAATAATAACAAAGGACAGCAGACCTTGATTTTTTTTCGTGAAAAAAATATGATTATCCGGTAACTTTTTTTCAAAAAGATATTGAAATGCCTTCTTTTGGATGATTAACGATTATCTTCAAAATTGTTTTTTATTCTTCTTATCGATCTGCCCTGTTCATCGTTGTCTTGCCACTTTGGAGACATAAGTTGAACTTGAAACTAAACCTCCGCTCTACATGATCTAATAATAAAAAAGGGAATACTTTTGTTTGTTCTGCTATCATACATTTTGGAAAAAAGTTGTTGACAATCTGGATATTAATTCATCAAGGCCCTTGTTTCATGTCACTTTAAATTATTTTTAAATCGTTTATATTTTTTTCGTAACGTATCATTTTAAACCATGTCAGGCATCACGCAACATTCTCAATAACCGAACAAAACCATATATAGAGCATGTATACATGACATGTATGTGTTTATACATGAATATACACACATACCTATACATATACACGCACGTTAGTAAGTCTTTACTTTCATAAAAAAAAGTCAAGGCATTTCATCAGTACAAATTGGTCTTTTCCATCATTCCGTGTTTTTCTTTTCTTGCAGTCGCTTTCCTCTCTCTCTCTCTCTTTTTTCCTCTTTATACATTTATTTATTTTTGCATGGCACAGTGGCCTGCTGTGCTGCAGATTGTAGACCAGCCGATTGGGCCGGTAGCAGATTGCAAACAGCATACTTTGGGAGGGGGGCCCCCGTGGCTGCGTAGAGATGTACAATCCCATCTCGTTATCCAGTGTGGTTGCTGTAATTAATGTACGTCGTTGGTTTCTTCGCCGGTGCCACTGGAAACCAAAATAAATAGTTTTAACACACGCGCACGTAAGCAATCCAATAAAGCAACTCAAAACAGCACGTTCTATCATCATTATGTATATATACAAATTCATCTTTGTTGTTTCAAATAATCGCGTGATCATTCACACTCCGATGCGATTTCGACGTATTGCTTCATCAGCTACGACCAGCCCTTGCCTATCCTGCTGACCAACCTACCCCAGTCCCTATGACTACCCCAACCCCTATCACTACCCCTATCACAACCCCAACCCTTATCACTACCCCAACCCCTATCACTACCCCAGGCCCTATCATTACCCAACCCCTATCGCTACCCCAACCCCTATCACTACCCCTAACCTATCATTACCCCAACCCCTATCACTACCCCAACCCTTATCACTACCACAACTCCTATCATTACCCCAACCCCTATCACTATCCCAACTACCCCAACTCCTATCACTACCCCAACCCATATCACTACCCCAACCCCTATCACTACCCTAACCCCCATCACTACCCCAAACCCTATCACTACCCCAACCCCTATCACGACCCCAACCCCTATCACAACCCCTACCCCTATCACTACACCAACCACTATCACTACCCCAACCCCTATCACTACACCAACCACTATCACTACCCCTATCACTACCCCAAGCCCTATCACTACCCCTATCACTACCCCAACCACTCCTTAACCACTCCCACCTGTCCTCATAACTCTCACCATAACTACACCACCACTTTTAATAACCCCTCTTTATTTCAACCACTATCATATTTTGTACATTAAAAAATATATATTTTAAAGCAGCCTTTGACTAAGTCCGCTTTACAATCTATATAAGATAACAAGCCTCTTCAGGAATTTCCCAGGAAGCAAAGCTTCCAGACGTCGCAATGAATAATACGCGGCACGAATCGATCAAACATCTGAGAGTTAGACAGCGCAACTCCGCGAAAACCTACGCGGTCGTACTGAGTCATCATTTCATCGGCTGCAATCAAACATGCACTTCGCGTTGTATTGTAACGCTCCCCTCTGTTCCATCAATCGTCATCACGATCCACCACGGGAGGATATCGCGAAGGTGTCCACTGCACGTTTCGTCATTTTTTTCCACTTTCCTCTGCCTTGTGTCAACATGCTCGAGCAGTAGGGCACATCTTACTGGCACCATTCTCTCGCGATGTCGTCGTTAAGCTTTTCTCTGCTAGGTCTTCCTCTCTTTCTGGTTCCTTCCATGTTTCGCGAACAACAACGACAACAACACACCTTGAATTTTCCTACACATGCGTCCAAATAGCGCCGGTTTCCTTCTCATCACTGCCCGCATCATCAGATCTTCTCCGTGCAACCTTGAACTTATCTCTACGTTGGTCACTATTTGAGTCCAGTTTCGATGCAGCATCCTTCTGTAGCAATATATTTAGAAAACCAATATCTGATTTGTTCCATCAATATTAGTAAAAAAAATTTCCTTTCATTTTGCAACTACTGTTCGCTGAACCATTCCTCTCGTATACTTATTCTGATTATGATTCAGAAGCTTTGCAATTTTACGCCAGATGTTAACCTAGCCCAATCCCCTGAAGTAATTACTGTGTTCAATCATAAAGAATATCTACAACTAAAAAGAATGCCCACTCGATCATGCATTCACTTGTGAGTTTTACATATCGCTCGTTAATGCTGGTGCACACACACAAGCAAGTTGGTAATGGCCTTTGTTTCATGGATTTTAATGGGAGTGCTTCAATTTCATGTAAAAACGGTCACAACTTGTAAAAGAAAGGTCGTAAAATATGACCACCACCGAGTTTTAAGTATCAGCACCCTAAACAATGTCGACTGAGAGCTCTTTGTCGTCTGAATTGAGTGCTGGAAGCCTACTAAAGAGATGTCCGATTGCATATGTGGCATCTCGTATCCCATACAAATACAAGTGCCTCTAAAAAATGTGTTTATGTTAATATGCACCACCTGTAATGGTGCAATCCAGAGGTCGCCAGTTCCAACTCCCGGTGCGGCAGTTGAAACAATGGTGCACGTTTTATTACATTTCCCCACCCCTGCCCACTCAGTAGAACACTGGCAATGGGAACGCCGCAGTCGAACATCAGATCGGATGTGTTGAGGGAAGGTTTTGGTACTGGCGAGTTGTTAACTCCATCGCCTAGTATGCAGGGGTCATGGGTTCGATCCCAACCCTGACGCCTGCTGTATTTTTGGAGTCTGCGTGTCCTCCCTGTGGTCGCGTGGAATTTTATTGAGGCCCTCCGGTTTTTCCCTCCACATTTAGAATCAACATCACTCGTTTTAGAGTATTTGGCTGCAATGCATTCTCACGTGACCAGCCACTTCTCGTTGGGCTTTCATTTGGGGCCCAGGTCGCTTCTGACAAGAAGCTACATAGCTCAGTGAGCCTCACCTGATCAAATAAAATAAGTTTCAATAGTTTTTTTTTTAGTTTCCAACACGTCTGGCTAGCGTCGGAGTGTAGATTAAATGTGCCATGGAAGGGGCTCCCTGGAGATCGCTCTACACCAGGGCATCTCGCACCCCTTAGGGCCAGATTATTTTAGGAGGTAAATAAAAAAAATCAAATCAAGCATGCTCACGTAAGTGCAACTACTTTACACGTATGCTTTCACGACGCATATTATTAATAATAAAGTTTTTTTTGGGTTAGATCGCGGAAGTATAAATGTGTCGCAACCCTCCACCACCCGACACGGCCATTAAGGTTTGTCACGTAAAGAACGCGCCAATTAGTTGCTACTTCAGCCCACCGGTGTGTTGGAGAGTTAATCCACAACATTTACAATTTGAATAGTACGACGTTTCACTGGTAGTTACATCAACCAGCATCATCGGGCGATTTGCCAAAATAGTGAAGCAATCCACCTGCTTCCGGTCTTAGATAGAGCAAGATGACGTCATCACTGAAACAATCAGGTGCAGAGATCAGAGGCGGAGGAGGGGGGGATATTCTAATTAAAGGGGTGCAAGGCTGGAGTAAAGGTTAAGAACCACTGCACTAAATGGAGGCCTTCCCACCAGCAGTGGTTTGCGAGAGCGATTTGCAGGGCTGCACCTTGACTCTTTTCAATATGCACAGAGAGAAATGGGGCACTCTCACGCTTTGAAGGCTGGACGTGAGCCAGACGTCATTGGCAATCATTATTTCTACCCAAACACATACACACACACATCTGTAAAATGTCACCACTTAGTGGACACTGTGACCATAATAGCACTTTAGTGATACTGGGAATCAGCAATGCACTCCTCTGGCCTTCACATACCACCGCACATAGTGTGGTGCTGGTGTGAGACTAATGTTGTAGAACGTGAACGCATGTACTGTATAGGCCATGGGTGTCTTAATGAATATACCATTATTTGAAAAATATATATGTTGATATGAATGTAGTGGTAGTGGCTTGCATTATCGATGCTCGGCCAGCCAGCTGCTAGCGGCAACATGGTCATGGGCGATGGGCAAAAGCCAACTATGCAGTTGGCATCACTTTCACACTCCAATTAATCAATACACCCCCTGCGTGCATGGCAAACTCGGAACCACAAGACAAGAGTAAGCAACGACTCCTTGTGTATTGTTTACCCATGAGAGCCTCATCTGAGTCTTAATAATAATTTTTAAGGAGGCATCCTGACAGATTTTCGCATACGGAGAGCCATGTTGCTGCTGCTGCTGCGTGATCCCAATTTAGTAAACTCTAGGTAATGTATCAGCATTGGGATCTTTGACACCAGAGAACCCGGAATAGCCTCATGCAGAATAGGCTGAGAACGTACAAGCTACTGGAGCTATGCACTTTTAGATCTAGATTGAAAACTAATTTCTTAAGAAATGCTCTTTCTGTTGAGTTTGTTGTCCTTCCCCCACGACTCCAATTAGCACGGTTGGCTACGTAAGGAGAAAGGCACTACAAAGTGACATAATGAGTCCGTGTAATGTGTCGCGATACATTATGATGATATACCGTAGGTGTGTTATGCCCAACGATCGACGCTTCCCATTGGTTGCTGACTGTGTGGCATCGCCTCCCATTGGCTGGACTCGGCTCATGCGTGTTATCAGGGGTGCCCGATGCGGTACTCAAACCCAGGCCATTCTTGCTGTGCAGCACACACGTGGTTACCCACTGCGACACCCTGCTGCTCACTTGTCAAAGTAGAGTTTTTACCACTTTTATATATTCACCATCATGGCCTTAGCAAAAATGTTAATCGTCAAATCTGTGAACGTATACATGTGCATTCCGTAAAAAAAAATAAGTGCATTTATACTCATTTTTTTACGGAATGCACATGTATACGTTCACAGATTTGACGATTAACATTTTTGTTTAGTTGACATTATTTTTTCATATATTTTCAAAAATATCGTTATTTACAAAGCGCATTTATACTCTGTAAATAACGATATTTTTGAAAATATATGAAAAAAATGTCAACTAAATTCGAGTGTTTAAATGTATTCTAATGTAAATAACATTTTTATGCCCCGCAATAATCACATTCAGCATGTGCATTATAATTACAATGCGATAGCATGGTGACTTTGGAATGAAGCAATACTTCGCGAATTGGCTATTACAGAGGGTTTATGATTTTAAGCTGCAGTAAAATCAAATAGGCTACTGAATAATAATGTCTATGTATACGACCATATTCTTGACGAACTTTATTTTACAATTTTTATTTGATGTGCACACACATTAGCAAAGGGCTAATTGCTTTATTTAATGAAAGTAGATTATAACCTTGCTGGTATTTGTGACTTACAACCTGTCTCCTCCCCCACACCTTCTATTGATGCTCCGTGGACTCTCCCCTACCGAACTCTTCCTACTGGTCTCACTCTACTCCCCTCCACGCAGTACCACACCTCTCCCCTCTCATCTCACTCTACTCCCCTCCACGCAGTACCACACCTCTCCCTTCTCATCTCACTCTACTCCCCTC